TACGCGGGCGTTAGTAAATTAGGCCTTATTCTTATCAGTTGCATTCGCAACTGATTTTTCAACGATAAGACGTTGTAGTCAATTAATGTTTTTGTTTYATATGATTGTTCGTCGGATATTGACTATCGATAAAATGGCTTCCCCACTCGGCAACACACTTTGCATTTGAAATCGTAGTATATGTTATGGTTATAAGTTACTTTCTGCTTTATTATTGTGATTTAYATTGACGTAAGGTGTGACGGATGATGGTGATGATGTTGATGACGGCGATGTCGACGATTACGCGTCGTGGATTGCGATACATCAATGATTACGATATCGACGAGGAAGGCGATGCGATTTTACGAAGATTACGATAACACGAGAACGACAATAATGTCGACTACGACGTTTACGAAAATTACGGTACAGTCGAAGACGACGGCATCATCATCATCATCATCATCATCACCATCATCGCTCTAGCTATGCTCAGTTTATCTTTTTAATTTCTTTTTTTTTTTCATTAGTATTTTTCTTCTTTTCTTTATTCTCTTTTCTTTTTATCTTACAATTTTTTCTTYTCTTTTTTATTCAATAAAAACAGTGTTTCTCATATGAATAGCAGTGATAATTGCTTTCATGTGACCGTGTATTATACACAGAAAAATCCATTATAAGCCAACGCCAATGCAAACGCTAATATTATAATTCCTTTTGATTAGGTGCCTTTATTTATCAAGTTTATTTTCTAAATCGTGAAGTGCTTTAATTTTAAGTATGGGCAACACACGATTCAGATAAAATTCTGATAAAATTATCACCAATTTGTTTCAGCATTTYTAAAAGAAGAAGAGAAATTTGAAAGGAACTTCCATCAAAGAAACCCGMTTGATCTATCAACTTAAATCTGTGGCAAGAAAATTCCATTCGATCAGATAAATATTAACTTAAGCTGTCGAAATGTACCATGTTATGAATTGACAGAGTCTTGACAGTCGCAGGATTAGAGCTTTAGTGTGTGTCAGCCTGTTGAGGCAAGAAGCAGCTCAAATACCTGGATTTTTACCCTCRGAGGGCAATTTACCGTCTACCAACCACTATAMCAAGGCTATGGTCATCTACCCTAAGGCTGGATATTGAGTGTCAAAATACGCTACTGTTTTGGTAAGTGATTTGAGCGTTGAAGACAAGTATGTCGACATGGTAGCTCTCTAATTTGTCCACTGATTCTCACTTATATTCAGATATAAATAAACCTCAACAAGGCCTTGATTTCTTTATTGTTGTACTTGAAATCATAGAGAATTTCGCGTGTTGAAAGAGCCTTGCTTTCAAGCTTTCGTTTTTATCGGCATTTCCAGTAAAGACAGCTTATTGATTTGACATTTGAATGTTGGAGATACCGCTTTCTAATAACGGGTAATTTAGGTCATTTAGGCAAAGCTTTAGAAAGAAGCGCACACTTTTTAATTCCAAGTATAAAAAAGCTACAATTCACTTCGTACAGCAAAATATGGTAGAACTAAACTGTTAAAAAAACATCCGAAGAATAACAGCTACTATCTACCACCGAACCATATTTAGTCCTATTTCAAAAAGGTAAAGTTAATCGTGATTAGAAATTCGTCCTTTTCTTGGGTTATTCTGATTTTTCTAATTAAAATAAGAAGTAATAGTCACTCAAATGTATTTCACGGAATGTAAGCGTTTGCGGACAATATAAATTGAAACCGTGTCAGTTCTCTAGATATTAATTTAGTTTTTAATATATTACGAACATAAATTGAATGTTAAGAATGCGAAGCACTCAAAAAGCGATGCTTAAAATCACTAAATATTTTGTTTTGAATGAAGATGCAGACCCATTCTTAAAAGTGAGAGTGTTTGTGGCACGCGCGCTAACCTCTTAACAAAAACAATATCCAATGTCCACTCTTTTCTTCTTGGCCATTTTCGCTGGCTATTGAAAAGATTCCATATGCTTCTAGAAATATCATATTTCCTATCAATACTCGTTTATAGACAAATTTGTTTTATTATTTCACCAAGTCGCTTTAATGATTAAGATAGCAGTGTCTTTGACTGGCCTCGCATCGCTCTATGTCTCAGAAAAGATGATTAGGTTTACAATTTAGGATTTTTTTTAGCTAAATTCTTTTTATTGGCTTTGAGCACAATTCTCTAGATAAAACAGTAAACGCAATTTTACTACAACGCTTTTCTTTGCACTGGTAATTTTACGTAAGACCTCCACGTAGTGTATCGCGTAACCGAGCGTAATCGAGGATATTTAGTCAATTTCCCCTAATGGTAATGTCTGTGTTACTGACGCGCGTTAAGTTTTCGTGAAAGATGCATGGATCTCATGTATAAACTGTGTTCATTTGCGTTCTAATTTACGTAAGCCATTTTAATTTAGTCCAGTAATTACGTAAGTTAGTATTCTGAACTGCGTGTGTTTTGACGGCGTTTTCATAATGTTACGGACTGAAACAAAATTTGCTGTAGAGATTTTGCTCTGCTTGTAATTCCGTTTGCGTAATATTTTACGCAAGGTTATTCACACGCAGTAAATATATGTTTACGTTCATTTTCGCGGTGCGTAAGCGCTATGTACAATAAAATGTTGTTAAAACTACTAATCGATATTTAAACATTGTGTTATTAGTAYAAATGGCACATAAAGATTTGTTAGTTATTTCATTTGCGTTCGTTTACATAATAATTTACGCAAGTCATTCACACGTASTCCTTGACGTCAATAGGGTGTAAATGCCTGCAAAAAGTTGTCATTTGGTTGACACGCTTCAGGAAACCTTGATGGATCATGTCTGTGTGTGCATGAGATCTTAGCCAAACCAAACATACGATTGGATCATCTGCACTCTAAATTAACACTCGCTTATCCTTACATTAATATAATTATTTTATTAAGTAGTTTGTTGAGCTTTTAAGCTTTCCTTCAGCCGTGCTTTCAAAGTTGCTTTGACAGGTCTCTAATCGGAAATCTTTACAGAGAAAAAAGTCTTAAAAACGGGGGCTTCAAAAGGTTGCTATGATAGATGTATCACACAAAACTGGCAGAATCGTCCGTCATTACTTATTTGGCTGCTCTTAAACTTGATATTCTAACTCACTCAATGTCAACAATAACTTGATAGTTGATTTGGAAAAGGTTTTAGTCTCTTCACGATCATGTTACACGATTTTATCAGATGACAGTTTGACCAGTTAAGGTGATTGCAGTCAGAAATATCAATAATTGATAAAGCAAACCTCAAGAGACTTGGTTTATGTTTACTTCTGTGCTACCTATTAGATGATATGTCGCCCTTGGCCGTTCGCAACGCGGTCTTTTGTTCACAGTCTAGGACCACTGTACGATCGACCAATCATTATCATTGTAAGATCGGCCAATTATTATCATTGTAAGATCGATTAATCATTATCATTGTAAGGTTGACCAGCCAATCATTATTATTGTAAGATGTAAGATTGACCAATCATTATCATTGCAAGATCACCAGTTATCTTACATGGACATAAAGTCATGGCCATCTTTAAAGTTTTTTCAGGAAAATCAGAAGAAAACTTTTATCAGATTGAGAATAGAGCACGGTTTTAATTAAACAGAAATAATGACTAATATGTATATATTGAATTTGTAATATAAGCTGTGAAGGAGTTATTGAAATTGTTTTCGGCATCTAAAGTGTTAAGGTGGTTCTGACGTCAATTTTTTAAGGGGTCTATGATGAAGTTTGCAGTGAACGTAACTTCGGCATTAAAGTAGTAACAAATGTAAATTATATGGCGCGAATTCTACAGAGCTGTAATTTAAACAACTATTCACAAGGAAAAGGTCACTCCAAATTGATTAAAAATATCAAGAACTTGCTAATTGTTTCAACATGGATTGTAAGAATCAAATACCAAGACAACGGCTTAATTTCTAAATAAATATATACACAGGAATTTCCCTCGAAGCAAATTTGAAGAAAACGGCAGACTCTTTAGCCGTTAAGATTCAATAAACGCAACCTATGGGATATTTTTATATAAACAAACGAAAGTAATAGTTTCCCTCGGGCAGAAACAAATTAGCTTTTTGTCTGTAGAAAGTGAACAATTAGTTGTAAACAAGACCCCCATGCGGTCAGAACCCCAATTTATCATTATAAGTCGGTGTAGCTCAAGAGGGCCGTCTACGAAGGCTCGTTTATCATCTGTCGACGATATACTCGATATTATAGTGTTGTTTTAGTTTGTTTAGGGCTACAGAAGGAAGTCGTTTATAGTGTTTACGCAGTGAAACTGTACAGATTCTGTTTTACCAAAATTAACTATTAATTTGTAACAAATACTCTAAAATAAGACATAAGGGTAGGGCTTGACTTTGGAGTTTCAGTTTTGAGTGCTTTTCAAATTATGAGCTAAAAATAGCGCGCGCATGCTCTATCGAGTCAGGATACTCGCGACGGAGGAACATATGGTGCTAGTAGTCAATCTGTTTCAATCTAAAAATATAAGAGCTCCATTGAAATTTTTTGTGCTATATTCTGTTTCCAATTAAATAGTCAAGACCTTTTCCTTCAGTTCAAATATACTTGTGGCGAATCGCTTTTTGATGTATTAAACACACCCACTGTGAATACTGTACTGTAAACCTGACAAAGACAGCCTTCTTTCTCCGACCCTTGCATCTCTGGCCTCATTGGACTGTTCCATCTCTGGCTGTGTTTTCTAAGTTTTCTATCCGTTAAATACAAGGCAAGGGGCTGGGAAGCAAGTACTAGGTGAGTAATTGTGTCTGACATTACCCCGTGAAAAAGATAAGAAAAGAAATAGGCAAAAAGCAATCAAAACGCAGACAAACCACTTACATGGCTTGTTATCAATCATCGGAGATTCTCATTCCTTCAAACTTAATTGATTATTTTTTTCTTTATATTATTAACTGCTCGAGGAAACTGCCATTATGATTGTAATGCTGGATTTAGACTCCCTTACACACTGACTCATCATTGACTGCCTTTTTACGCAGCAGTCTTCTTAGGTAAAACAGTAAACAAATACTAGTGCGGCTCAAGCGACGATTTAAAGTGGTGAACTTTAAATTTTTACTTTTTTGATTTCTTTTTTATCTGGTATCATAACAGAATCTCGAGGCTTTTCGATTCTTATTAGTCATGGCATAACTTGGCATCAACATCGAATTTGAGGGTACACAGAAGTTAGAAAATATCCAGAAATTATGATCATTTTGACTCATATTTCAAGTATATAAAAAATATATCAGAAATCATGGGATATCATCGCCAATATTTTGCTGAAGTTTCTTAGCACTAGTACTTTCTGCAAAAATGTTGGTGATGATATCCCATAATTTTTGATATATTTTTTATATACTTGAAATATGAGTCAAAAATACCATAATTTCGGCATATTTGTGTCATCATATATATTGCTGTCTTTCGTAAAAGTTCACATCACCCCCTAAAATTTCCCAAAATTTGAAGTAATTTATAGTAGTTGAGCAATCATTTCCCGTTGTCAGAATTGATTTTTACAGATTGGAGAAATTGACAGTAAACTTATGAAAACAAAAAAATAACGGAAGGGTGACTTCATTTTACCAAACTCTCACTGTTCAATACCCTTATTAATTCTTTTGCAGTCTCCGACAGCATTAAAGTAAAAGAGAGTGCAGTGATGAAATTGAAAAAGTTGACAGGTCGATATAATAGCTTATGCCCGGTGATTGGAGGTTTTGTATTTGTATGGATATATTAGCATTTGTTTTTAAGTGGTAGACAATGTTGAAGCGATACAAACGGTATCTTTTCACGAGATTATAGAAATTACTTCCCCCACGGAGTCCATAAAACCTTGTTTTTCAAAAACATCTAAAAACATGGATGTCATCGCTTATCAAATATCCAGGGAAGTAACAATGTATATGGAGTCGGGTATCACCGTTTTATTGGGGCTTAGGGATTGCATTTTCCTCCTTTTTGGGGCTGAGGGAACAGAGTTTCAGAAACGCTATCAAAATCGATACTGTCAGAGAGTTGGCAAGGACAAGGGATCAAAATATCCCTATTTTGGGTATCAAAGATCAAACCTTTACCGTGGGATCGGGAATCACTGAAAAAAAACTATATACCTCGTCACTAACCTGATGTAAAATTACTTGCTTACCAGTTTTTCATTGCAGTTTAGGAAATCTCTTTCGACCCACCTTATAATCAACGCTGGTAGCTATAATTAAGTGGCACAAGTAATTTAAGGCAGGTTTTTCCATTAGTTGTTGGATTAAGATCAAAACCTAATCCCAACTAATGTATCTGTGACCGGATTCCTGAATTGAGATATTTTAAGGCAAACTTGGTTTATGTACACGACCAAGCCAAACTGTGATATATCATGATGATATTGATTCATGACGGGGGATGGTTTATAGATCGCTGTCTCTTAGCCATTAAATAATACCCACTTATCGCTTTTGTCTGATATTCATTTCGTTATAAAAGCGCTAGCGGATTTATTAGCTTGTTTTGCAGTAGATCGCTATATTTCATTCTACGAACGCGTATTAAGTTTCAAGTCTCTGAAAAGGTAATGTTGCTGTTTTTCTCTTTGTTTTCTATATGCTCTTATTCACTCATTTAAACTTGAAAACATATAAATAGATTTATATTCAAAGTATACGTACWCGCTCAGGATTGGTCAATGACTACCAGTCAAGGTTCCATATCTGGACGTCAGCGTCCAACAATTACTAGTGATGTATAGTATATTTTTGGCGTTASACATAGTCAATACACGTCGCTTAAAGGGGTTTTCTCTGTTTCAGAGTCACTTTCCAAGCTTTGTAACCTTCGTTGAAAAACAATTTAGATTAGAATTGTGTTTTGTTTTTTGTTTTTGTTTTTTTTTTCTGGGGGGGGGGGGGGGGGGGGCGCTGCTTGAGAGGAGGCCGATATAAAAACCAGAATCAATTATTCAGTGAACAACTGTTTTCTTTTTTCTTCTTTATTTGTCTGTATACAAAGACCGCAAAAATACAAGTAAAAAAAGTCATTTGGGAACATTCAAGTATACACCCTGATCAATGATCAGTTAGTGATCGAAAAACATAGAACTTACCCATATTTGCGCAAAAAAATGGTATTCAAACTTTAATTTGATTTTAAGTCATTCAGTGAAGACGTAAACTAAACTGTAAATTTGCGCGAACATCGTCAACAGAAAAAAAGCAGAAGCGACGATTCGTGCTTCATTCCACGAACTTGACACTCTAAAATCAATATTTATTCCAGATAAACGTAAAACAATACTGTTTTCCTTGCGGATCGTGGCTTCTCTTAGTTAACATGGCAAAAAGTGGCAGGTGGCCATTCTGATAAATGGATCTTTGACCTATAACAAATATATACATTGATAAAAAGTGTATTGTTTCATACTGATTGTTAAAGTGCATTATATTTTCTTTCGAGAGGCTTTTTTCGCTGGAAATTTGTGAAATTTAGGACACATTTTCCTGGAACGTTCTAGACATTTCCAGAAATTCTTCTGAGCCGAGAATGCCCCTCCTCAACGGCACTGACTACACTAATCCGCTCCTACCCTAGCCTCTGCTCTCTAAGTTCGACACTGCTTGGTATATTTTGCTGCACKAAGGAACAAACAGAAAATGATTGATTGAGTTTGATACAATTTCTTCAAGGTCTTGATCCGATCTGTGACATTTTTGACTTCCGAGTTTGCGTTAGATATGAATCATATTATTTACTACGAACATAAATCTAAAACCTAATGAATTAATCAGTTGAAACCCCGGTACCGGGCACATGGTCAGGGATTTAACAACATCATGGGTGACGGAGAAATTAACGTCTGGATCAAAGTGATCCGTTTAGTCGTCATTTTTTGCCTCTAAGAGACGGGAAATGCCTGGAGTTTAAGGTTGTTAAAGTGTTCATTTCCCCGGTATTGCCTGGGGGGTTGAGGGGCTGTGGTTTCACTTGACTAATACACAAATCATACTGACTGTCTGAGTCCTGTTTCAAATAACGCACATCAGAAGCTACCCAACAAAGGCAACGAGGCTCCACCTCGCCGGTTAATGTTACTGATAAATTTTATTTATAACTGCTTTCCGTCAACGATTACAACTGATTAAAATTGTTGTCAAAAACGGTGCCATCCAAAATTACACATATTTAGCCTGATTGCTGTCAGTGTTTTCGTAGACTCACGGTCGGCCTTCGCTGCGATGAGCCAACTGTTGTTTCACTAGATAATTTTTTCTATAGAACTATGCTTTTTTGTGTATGATAAACTGCGTTTGGTAAAAGATCTGTTGCAATGTTCAACCAATAGCCACAACGATTTACCATCTTAGGAAAGATTTTATGCATTTCATTTGATACACTATGATTACACGAAACTAAAAGCTATGGTAGTATCTGGATTAGAAAAGAAAACGATCGTTTTGTGTAATCGTGGCTAAGAATATACGATTAAAAATATTGTATTCGTGTAAACGCAACGTTATACGAGCCTTGAGGCAGACACTTAAGATTCACAAAGTCCATCAATAAATGTCTGTTCACAATGTCTGAATACGATCACATGCAGCGAAGGTTTGGTTTGCAAAGTAATTTATTGTTATTCAGCCATTTAAAAGAATTGAATATCAAATCTACTAAAGTGTAATATAACCTCAAGTGGTTCTGTTCATCTATATGCCTTTCTACAAGTACTAGGACGTTGATTGTACAAGTACTAGGGCACAGATTGCTTTTTAAGTTGTTGAACCCGCGACAATGTGTTGCCACCTAGAGTGGCTAATGGTAATAACAGGGCGTAATTTCTTGGATTACATGCAATTAAATGTACATTAAGTTATACGTCTGACTCKAGGAATGTTTCAAATCATGATTAATCGTCCTGTCAACTATCTCAGTTTAGATGCCACGTAATCTGAACGTGTTCATATATGGTCAAAGCTRAACGTTTATAGGGAATAGGGTGGGTTAGCTTTTTTGATTTTGAATATATTTGAAGTAAGCCAATGGATATTTACTATCTAAAATCAATTCCTTGTGGATATTTCTTCCTTTTATTAGGTGATTATTATTTCTTTAATAATCATTAATAGTTTATCATCATYATYATTATTATTATTAGCTTTAGAATATTATTAGTCTTACGTAATATTTCGTCATTAAGGTATTCATTTTGCAATGTCAAATCTCAATGTTAAGTGTCTCTCTAACTACTTCCATAACAAGATCATCTCTGATGCTATACAGTAAATTATCACACAGAGCAGGCCCAGCATATTCTAGAATCGACTTGTAATATATTTGTATCGCTAAATGATTACTGGCTTTACACCAGAAAGGTATCATCTTTAATYTTCTTTTTGTCCACTGCATGTATATAGTAAGACAAGATGGGACTTACTTTATGCTGTAAATTATTATCGAGGCGAAGGTACATCATGGTTTTGTGTCCMGATCTTTTTTAAATGAAAGCTAACGCAAGAATACGCGACAATTCATATTCATATAAATCCATGAGCAAGGCTCTATATTGAAGGATTTGACAACTCGCTTAAATTTGTTAGTAAATACAATCGAGAAATTGAAATCTTTTTTTTTCTGAAAAATAATTTTTCACGGTTATCATTGTGTGTTGTGTTTTTGTTATATATTTACTTCCAGTTAAAGGTAGTCTATTTTTCTTTTTTTTATCATCCATACGATTGTCTATGTTTCTTAGTGTCAATASTTTAAAATGTTTTTCTATTTTTTCAGTTATGGAGATCGGTTGGTTTATCGCAATATATGTTTTTTAACGTTTCGAATTATCGTAGAATATCTATGATGAAAACTGATACTACATTGTAATTCTATAAGTGTTTTCCTGCTTTACCTCGGTTAAAAACGTTGCTTCGGTTTCTCAATATATTTTTAGTGTAACATTGGAAACATTCCGTTTAAAGTCATAAATTTTCGGCACGAACGAATGATCGCTGATCGCGCTATATCAGTGATTCTARAACAACTGATCTGTTACTTTTTATTCTCTTATCAATACTGCTTTTTAACTAAAAATATGTTTTTTTTATTTTCATGCTTCAGATCATGAACATAAGYAACCAATCAAATTCCCCGGAGAAGTCTTCTACAATGACGTCAACCGACCAGGACATCGCGGTCAGCTTATCGTTTTGTTATGGAATCGTCCTTATCTTGGCTGTGGTAGGAAACTCTCTGGTAATAAACTTCGCACGCACGAATAACCGAATGAAATCCAACGTGTTCAATATTTTTCTGATTAGTATGGCAGCCGCTGACATCATAGATGTATTGTTCGTCGTCCCTCTTCATTGGATTTTCTTCTTCTACCGAAATCTTTGGATAGGCGGCGTCTTAGGTCAAATTTCTTGTAAATTGATGTACTTTTCTGTTGATGTTTCCATCATTGCATCTGTGCTYACACTCGTTGCCATAACAATGGATCGATACTTTGCRATATGTCATATTAGCCACGCCCCACTGTCACKTGTCAAAACGCGGCTTATCGTCCTTGGTATATGGATTGGGTCTTGTTTATTGTCAACTATACAGTTGTATAAATTCAAGATTGTTGATTACCATGGTCGGTCTTACTGTGTTTCGTCGTGGAACCAACCTGACCCTGGGAAACGAGAGATTATAGTCCAGTATGAAATGACCATTAAGTTCGCAGTGTCGTATGGGATACCATTGTTAATCATGATTGTGTTATACGCTTTGATCATCCGGGAACTTAGAAGGCGGCTTCTTTCATTGGCAGTTGAAGAAAACCAGGAATTACAAAAGCACATAGCGCAACAAAATAGACCGCTGGTCAATATGTTTATCACGTTGGTGATCACATTCGCTGTCTGCTGGTTCCCAGTCCAYGTCAACCATATGCTAATTGCTTTTGATTTCGATACGTATAATCGCCTACCAGTTGCTATACCGCTGGTCTTTTACCTGCTGGCTCATGCTAATGCAGCCATCAATCCTTTGTTGTATTTTGTGTTTATTAGTGGCTTTCGAAAGGAACTGAAGAAGAAAATAAAACGCTTATGGAATTTAGTGACAACACTAACTGACTTGTCGTCTCTTTCAAAGCAACGGAGGCACTCAAATAGTGACTTCCAAAGCCAAAACAACAACGCGACTTTCCGGCGAAGTCCTGAACCGAATTCTCCCACTCCTGAGCCTTTCTTGAAGACTCTCAATATAAACACCGCTGGCTCGACTAATCGTGSGCTCTCCATGGAAGCTGATATCGATAATTTTGTCACTGGGAGAACTTTTTACGATCAACCAGACTCTTCTCCCACACTGTCGCTGAAGAGAGAYYYAAATGATGAKCGCAGAWGCTGGGTACAAGCCGATGGTGCAAATCAAAGGACAATTCGCCCCAGTCGRAGTTTAAATTCTTCAAGCTATGTAAATCGAGCATACGATCCTGGTTACCATAGCAAAATGTCGAAATCGGTATCRTTACCRTGGAAACTAAGTACATTYGTRTAGTACTGTMATGCRTCAAGGCATCCTGGTCACGTGCCTGWTATTTTACCATATGACGTAATATAACTTGTAAATATGATGYGCATGCTCCTGTTGGCTTTTTTGATCGGATAGACCTCCTCTGCTTAGACAACTTTTCTTACCCGGCTTTAGGAATATAATTCTTTTTCTGGGGTTATATTTTATTTTTCATTTATGCTTGGGAATAGATACGAATGTTAAAGGCAGTAAAACAAGAAATTKTACAAGTCTCAAAGGTTCTCAAATATTGCAGTCAGTGGCAGACATGTCAATAATATCTAAAAATAAATGAGTCCTCTGCGTTTACTAGTGATATTTTTAATACCGAGCTTTCGGCCTAAGCGGCCATTATCAAGCTCGGTATTAAAAGCTCGGTATTAAAAATATCACTAGTAAACGCAGAGGACTCATTTATTTTTAGAAATTATGCCTGCGTACAAAGAAATTCTAAACATGTCAATAATACTTCAACAAAAGATTCATCATGAGTGCCTAGTGTTCATACAAATAATATGGCTGCCAATCGTTTTCTTTTGAAACGCAAGGGAATGAATGGAAAACTTCCCTTTTCGTTAAGTCGACTGGTAATCTTACCTGTCTTCCTCGTGCCTCGTTGTTCATAGGGCTTTCTACTTTAACTGTACCCGTAGCAAATTGCTTAATAACAAGATGTATATAAACTTGCAGTGACAGATACATTTATAATAACAAGGGAAATAATTCATAGGCTTCCGACATTGAAAACTTACCGTTCTTCTTCCTTTTACAGTTATTGATTAATACCTAGTAAATACCTTTTTTTACACCAAGGAAAATTATTATCATAAGCTTACTACTTTTGCCTCCATGCAAAAGCTGAGCTGCATTTCAGATGGCGCTGGTAAGTGACTATGAAGGAGGCTCTTCGTTTTTGATTGTACAGATCTTCATGTAGTTGAATGTCACATTATCATTAATGTTTCCACTGAAAAGCAGGTGAAATCCAAGCAAAAATGAAATGAAATGAAATGAAATGAAATGAAATGAAATAAGAAGAAGAGGAAGAGAAGAAGAAGAAGAAAAGAGAAAAAAAGCATGAAACTGTAGATCAATCGTTTCTGGGCAATATCAAAAAAATAATAGGTATTCTTGCTACCTTTTTGCAGTTGTATTTACAATTTCTGTTTAGGGGTATCTGATACGAAAATCACTCATATTTTAGAAATTGACGAAATCGAACAACATTTAAAATATAATTGATACAGGGAAATGTGAATTTCTATTTTTTTAAATAATTATAATTTCATATGTTTGGTCTGCTATGCTTTTGATAAATCTAAATAACATGTGTTGCTWTGTGGTCCTAGAAGTAAATTAAGAAACTCCAAAAACTTTTTTTGAAGTAATTCTAAATTTTTATTTATTTTTCATGATAGTCCCACTTTAAAATAATGGAAATTCCACTGCTAAGTAGTATAATGTAAGGCAAGACAAGCAACTTTTATTTCGTAATGTTCTTCCTCTGACAATGACAGGGACAAATATTTATTAATGGATCTAACAAGACCATTTTCACCTGTGAAAGAAGTGAAGATACTAAAGGAACCACTCTAGTTAGAATCAATAATCAAAGAAGAAAGCGGATGAATTAACGAGTTAAAGAAGATGAGCACCTGTTGTTAGTAGTAGTAGTAGTAGCAACTTTATTTAGAGAGGGTAGCACTAAATAGTGGAAACCACTAATAAACTTGCGTTTCCTTCTCGGACAACAGTTGCTTTACTAGTGAAATTGAGCCCTTYAACGATTCCTTTCCCAATCCACTTAATAAAGGACATGCATGATAATTAAAATTATGTATTTTTGACATATCTTTATGTTTAAAACGATGGTGATTCAGACATTTCGGTCAAGGCGATAACCTTCCTCAGTGAATGAGTGCAGACCTTGTTTCATTTACTTAGGAATGTCATCGTCTTGATCGATACGTCTGAATCACCATCGTTTTTACCATAAATATAGTGACAAATACATGTTTTTAATTATTATGAATCCTACTAGCTGCAAATTTAATATATCTAAAGGACATGCAGAATTAAATGCAAACATAATTACCATGTATTATACAGCTATACGTTGTCTTGTTATTTGTCAACTGTCTCATTACTTGAAATATAGGGTTGTGTTTGTTACTTCCAATGAACATTTTTTTCATGTCAAAGTTTCAAAATTTAACCATTGTTTCATATTTTGGTTTATCCCTTCCCAGTGAATGAGCCATCAAGTGTCTTTAACTTTTTTTTTTCCTCTTTGAATCCCAGCAGTGGAGTATTGTCTAAAGAAAACTGTTCTTACAATTTGAATAGCATAATGTTAGTGTTAGTATTTTTTTAAGTGTTTGTGTCCAAAGTTCTGCTGTGGAAAGCGCCCTACTGTTGACACAGTACCTCAGAGCTGTTGTCAAAAGATATTCTTATTATTCCCAACTAACTGTTCAAGCCATTTATTGCTCTAGGCATTTTTAAATGTCATTAAGACTGACTTTCAATCAGGGAATAGCGTGTGATCAGTTTTTTATGTATTATTTTCTTTTCGGAAACCATTTTATGGACATTGGAAATTAGATATTTATGCAAGCCTCATCTCTGTCTCTCTTTTTTTGTTTTCTGAAAAGGCGACGTAGCTGGGCTGCAAAATCTCGCTTCAGAAAGGCATAAATAACTGGATTGACCAGTGATGACCAGGCAATGGTATACCATGATATCATGGGAAGATGCGGAGGAATGAGATCTAGTCTGCCAAGCACTAACTCAACAGTGGTCATGTAGATAACAGGAAGCCAGCTGACCAGGAAGACAGACACCACCACAACGAACACCTTGACCGTCTTACCCTCGAGTGATGCTCTTCTTGCTCCTTCTCGCCGTTGGTTATTTATGTTGATTCTCTTCATCTGTGCTACGTGCAGTCTTAAACGTAACCAGATACGTACGTACGCGGCGATAATGAAAACGCAAGGGATGAGTACCAGTAACAGCAATGACAAAATGAGGAACCATTTATGGTACTCTGTGGTGATATCGACTTCCCAAGCTAGTGTAATAAAGGGAACCGAAGTCGCCGT